ATATTTTAACTCATGTTCCTATGATATTGATTGTCGTTAGTACCTCTGCTAGATCTGTAGAAATCTTATTTTTGTTACTCCAAACTCTATAAAATCTATGCCTATTCCTGTTTCATTGATATAAATTAATTTAATTTGGTGCAAAATTGTTCAAGCAAGCAAATGTCATTTGCTTTAGTTTATACTAGAAGTTGCTGTAAAATTAATTTTTGATTCTATCTTATTAATAAAGTCTTGGGATTTCACAATTGATTTAAAGATCTGCTTTGAAATGATTTTCCTGCTTAATTGATACATTGCAAAAATCCTCGTATATCCTACATTATCAGATTGGATTTGCTGTCATCTTACTTGATTTACTAAATTTAAAACAGCGTGTTTAAATACTTATTAGTTTATATCTATAAGTTATACATAATTTAATTCACTGAGTGTACTGAGAATACTATGAAAAGGATGCTTTTTAATCCAGCAAAAAGTGCATTTATTGAGAGGATGTGTTAAAGTTTTTCATACTATTTTGAGATATTTACAATCCGTTTATTATTGATAATACTTTTCATGAAGAGGGAACCAGTATATGTTGGCGCAAGTTAAAGTAGTTTTTCTGCATATAATGTAATTTTAACCGTAATGATTGAGCAACAGCAAGTTTATCACGTTGTTATCAGATATGAATTATCCTCTCTGGTATATGTACTTAAACTAGAATTGACTTGTTATATGAAGAATTTGGCAAATTGCCTAAGAATTTTAGAAGTTTTGAGACTTAACTAGATGTTTGCTCAAGAAAAATACTCATCAAAGCAAGTTAGTTGTTCTTAAAATTGATCTGCAAATTAAGACATTGAGAATAAAGGCAAAAATTTGTTCTTATTGATTTTGAGCAAGATTTTTTTGAAGCCATCATTATTTCAGCTGTTAGAGACAGAAATCAGCTGCTCTATTCCTAAATATGGTGAATTGATTAAAGACTAAACAAAGGAAGAATACGAAGTGCAAATTGTACCAATTTTTATACATCCTTTACACTTCTCTATAGAAATCGTATGTAGGCTCTAAAATATTGACTCCATTTCTTTCATCCAAAAAGTATTTATTAATTCACCCCATCTCAAATTAGTAAAGTAACATACAGATCTTCATTTGGAATTAGTGTTATTAACTAAGGATTAATTATACATTTCATAAGGTTGTTTCGTCCAGCCTTCTGTGAAGAGGGTTTCTCATTAAGATTTTATTTACAGGGATTGAAATAAATTGGTAAAACAGTTGATTTTAAATGAGTTTTGGTTTGTTAATTATTCAGTCTCCTTAGCAATAATATAAAAAGCACTTAATCCGAACAAAAGATTAGCTTCAATATACAATTCTTACACTATGTAACTATAATATTATAGTTCTAAATTGACAATTGAGAAGTTGGCACAACATGTTACAACATTTTGGATATCTCATACTAACATGGATAAATTTGTAGTAATTATCATTACATAGAGAAGCAAACCTAGCATTTAAAATAGAACAAGAACTATACTTTAAATTTTACAATATAAATATAATATGCATTAATATCTGAAACAGTCCCTAATAAATTATACTCAAGTTGTATTAATTAATACATAATTTGTAAAGATCCCAAAAATCAGAGTTTAAATTTATGGCTATAAAATGAAGGTATTGACATTTTAATTTTGAAATCTTATATCTTGTGACAAGGTGTTTTGATAATTTGTTTGTATTTTATTCTAGATTCATAAGTTTCTTTGTTTAGTTATTATGATAAATTATTATCAGCTCTTCATAATTAATTAATATGGGATTGTTTGAGATAAAATTCACAAGGTACTTTTGGGTTCATAGTTTAAAACTCTATTCTTATAGAAATGATTAGAAGACATCCGTCAATGGGATGTTAACACAGGATAAAATTAGATGGTCATTCTGGGACAGTTTAATCAATTTGTTACCCTCCTGATGGTTCTACATAAGCATCTGGCAGTAGGGGATAACTCAATTCGTCTATGGAATGTAATGGCAC